AACAAAGTGCAGATGTCTGGAGTATATGGTAAAACATAATGAATACAGTGCAGGATCAGGCATATAACATAGCATGTACAATGCAGGGGTCAGGAATATAATGTACAACATATCTATACGTTGCAGGAGCCAGGAGTATAATGTACAACATAGCAAATGCAGTGCAGGATCAGGAGTATAAAATACAACATATTATGTACAGTGTAGGGGGTCAGGAGTATAATGTACAACATAGTGAATGCAGTGTACGGGTTCAGGAGAATAACGTACAACATAGTGTGTACAGTGCAGGGGTCAAGAGTATAATGTACAATATAGCGTTTACAGTGCAGAGGTCAGGAGTATAATGTACAACTTAGTGAATGCATTGTAGGGGTCAGGAGTATAACATACAACATATTATGTACAGTGCAGGAGTCAGGAGTATAATGTACAGCAACATGCTCAGATGTGACAGATGAAGGGGTTGTGGTTAGACAGCAAAGCTGGGTTATGAGGGACAAAGAGTCTGTCCACAGGACCGCGGAACCAACATGAAAATACAAAATAGTCTTGCACTATCTAAGACTGTTGGGAGGTATCGAATTTGTGCCTCCTCCAGGTAGTTCCCCCTCAATTCCTACTACTTAAATTCTGTTAAGATCAAAACCTTAAAAACATCATATATAGTTCAGGAGAGAGTGAACTGGCTATGGCGAATCAATATTAAAAGACAGGGACATTTCCAGAGATAAATCTGTATAATCTGAGAGAATTAGAAATTACTCACTGAAAAAATATAAATTATCTGAAAGTGGGCTGCAAAATCCTTGTCACTGCTTGTAAACTTGTGAATACAACCAGTAAAGCAGAAACAAAGTGTACATGATAAAAGATGCACTCTGACTACAGTGATCTACAGTTGGTAACATTTTAAAGAGTATTAGTCATGAACGGGCACATGCATGAAACTATATATAAAGTGGACCTCTTAGTAGCTTTACCAGTTAGCATTCCTGAATTCCTGGCATGTCACAATATACAGCAACAGTACCATTGTTGTTGTATATTAAAGCTCACCCACATACCATTAAAGGAGAACTATGGGGTTAAGGCTCCTCCACATAGTTCTCCTTAGGGTAACGGGAGGACACAAACTAGCGTCCTCCCGTCACCATAGGTCTCAGTATACCGCGAGCTGTAGCTCGCGGTATACTGAGACGCTGCAGCTGAAGCGGATCCCGACAATTATGCCGAGATCCGCCCAGCTGCGTGACTGACAGCTGGCTCTGCCTATTTAGAGGCAGAGCCAGCTGTACCCGCCCCCTCCCCCGTCCGTTCTGCGGATCAGAGCGGGGAGGGGGGGATCCAGCCCCTCCTCTGTTATGGCAGAGAGCCGTGACAGGATCGAGAGGTGAGCGAACGCCGGTATGTGTTCGCTCACCTCCTGATCTACTGAGCCGACCTGTGACAGTCTCATTGTCACAGGTCGGCTAGAACTATGAGGTGAGTGAAAAGCACTCACCTCATAGTTCTCCTTTCAATAGCTGTCATTTGCTGTAACTGAAGGGGTCTTCTAGGTATAGGAAAGCACGTGACTTTCAAGCGGCATTTGCAGTCGCCACGACACTGTTACGTAGGAAGAGGCAGTAACATTATCTACCTGAGTAAGTTCCAAAACATCCAACACTGCAGCCTACCCAGTGTGGAGTTTAGTGGAGAGGTGGTGATGGAGTGTGAATCAGTGGGTATAACTTGCCGGGGAGAGACGCACTATGAGCCCTGAATAGGCAACATGACAATGGCTCTTTAAAACCAAAGTTCTTCTTATAGAAGCCGTTTACATCTGGTTTTCCTAAAAATAATTTCCACGGAGACCACTGTCAAGGAAGTGTCTCTAAGTTCATTATTATACCCATTGTTTCCATAGCCACTTCCTGATGAAAGTATTACTTTTAGGTTTTTTGAATTGAACATTATTATTGATATGAATTTTAGGAGCTCTTTGGAAAGGCTCATCTCTGCAAACAGTGCTGAATATGACAGAATAAGCCTAAGGCTCTCACTAATTTTCAGCCTTCACGGAAAGTCTATGTTTGGTTTTGTCTATAGTGCATTGCCAATGAATGACAGATTGAGAAAAGGCGAAAAAAAGAGCCACGGGGCTATTAAACCCCATAAGTGTTGTCATGAGTACTGCAAGATGGAGAAGTCATTTGCACAAGGTAATCAGATAATCAAGGCCACCTTCTGATTTTTCTGGACCCCATGACCCCATGTAACCCCAACTTCAGATTGGACAGGACACCCCCACCCCCAACAAAGCAACATCTGCTGCCAAGAATGTGAGTTTCAGCATTTCCATATTTATGCTAGGCAACATTAGATGGATAATAAACTGCCTTCTTAAAGCCTTGAGTAGTGTAGGAAATGGTTAAAACACCTGTCATGTGTTTTGCCATCTGTGTCCTATTGAGGAGAATTACCTTAACTTCCTGTTCCAAAGACAACAGGAAATTAAAGGAAATGTCTCCAAAATAAGGGGAATCCCCTCATAGACAATTGTTGCCAGAACAGATCTCCCTATCAGAAGATTTCCCCTTTATTCATTTTCTAGGGACAACTCTAACATTTTTTATTTGCCCTCTTTCTATCCTGGAAACAACATTTACCACATCAAACAGGGAGAGGGTAACGCTCCCCAATGTGCACACATACAGCAATTAAACCTGACAGGGGTACTCAACCTTCCCTATCTATTACAAAAAAAATTGGTTTGGAAGCACTTTAAAGTGAACCTGTTCCTTACGCTTTTAGTAACTGTTCTAGAATTAAAAAAGAGTAAACTAATTATTGTTGAGAATTATCATTTGTCAGTAGATGATCCACATTCTGCTGTTCAGGACCTCCTAGGCAGATTTAAGTGCCATCAGCTACAGCAGCCGGAGAAATGACAGGCTGAAACTGGAAGTGATGTAATGCACATCACTTTCGCTTTCAGTGATCGGAGGGGAGCTCAGTCAGTGGAAGTGTGCTGAACTCCATCCGAAGTACACAGACCCACCGTACTGGTCATGGGCCCGGGCCCTCATGGTAGACAGTTTAGCCTGGGATAGTCGACGGTAGAGAGGGGGCACCCAATCCCTGGTACCATACAAGCACTTGTATGTAACAGCCATCGAGGCTTTTTAAAACCATACCTTGATCACGGCTGATCTTGGTATAACCACTTCAGGATGCTGCCGTGTATTTATGTACGGCGGTCCTGAAGCCAGAGGTCAGGCCAGATCAAGACCTCAGTAGTTTTATATTAGCCCATAATTAGGTGAAGAGATTAGTACTGGCAGTCAGAAATGAAAATTCACTCCTATTTTAGGACCAATATGTTGTGACCAAGTAAATAAACAACTCCCTAAAGTTTTCACGCTTACCCAAAACTAGACTGTATCCTTCTACATAAGGGTTAGACGCTCCTATGTACAACCCCACTCTGCAGTCTCTAAAGGAGCATTTTGGAATTGGATCCCTAGCACTGAGGCTCAAAGGGCCCATCTGCCACTGTCTCTATAATCAGAGACTGGAGGAGGTCCATAACCTTTGATCACTATGTTGCGTGGAATGACTACATATGTGTGTGCAGTGACGTCACTGTGAACCCATGTTACATGATTGTAGGGATCTGATATCCAAACTACCATTATATGGACAATGGCAGAGACCTATCACCATCTCTGAAGGATCCTGGAATTTAAGTATTATGCCCACCAATAACCCCTACCTGTTTAGATGGTCATGGAGTTTAGTCCTGGGTGTGGGAGGCCTGCAGCGTGAGAGGATATATAATGTATCTATAGTCATTGCAGAGCTCAGTCTATGATGAAGAGGTTTAACAGGGAGAGCTGGATGTTGGGGGTGTATTGGATGTTAAGAATGTGAGGCTTATAGTGAGGCTCATCATATGTGAAGGCAGGGCCACGCATTCATCTAGAACCAGGGCCCCCAAGATACACCTTTGTATAAGTGACCTGAAAAATAATCTTCAAGAGACAACTTTTTAGCAATCATCAAAATATGATTTCTTTAATGCTCATACAGGTATAAACAGAATACGAAAAAGCCTAAAATTACATTCTTGAATTAAATTAAACAAATCACAAACATATTACTTTAAAGCTGGATTTCAGGCAGACAGCTAAATACACAGATAAATACATATATTGGAGCTTTTTTTACCTGCCAACGGATTCTATTTCTGTTCATACATTTCTGCAATTCACAGAGCTCTGCCAAACAGCACGGCCCTGTCTGGAAAGGAAAAAGACCGGATTCTTCGCTGATAGATTTGAGGAACACTTAAAGGTCTTGTTCCTCCCCCAGCCTATGACTGGGCAGTTAAAGAAGAAGCATCACTGTATGTTTGCCTACTTAATTATTTTATATTGTTAGGTACTATTTGTTTCACTAAATGTCCAACATGCCCCTTGCAGCAATGACTTGAGCTTTGCTGATTACAGAGTTATAGGTCTGAATCCACAGGTCTATGCAGAGAGACTCCTGCTTCTACACAGAGAGCAGGGGTCTTTCTGTGCAGCATGCTGGCAGGGGACACGTTTTTCTACTCAGGCTGTGGCTACGAACTGTAATAAGACTTTGCACCTTTCGATTTGATGCACCTGTAATATATTTAGCTGATTGAAAAAAAGAGTTCAGTTGGGATTTAAATAAAAAATTTGCTGCGATGAGAAAAAATAAGATATTTCTAACAAATTAATTTTTTAAATCACTAGATGCAGTCTTTCCCCCCCAAAGACTGTAGTAAAGGCTGACAACCTCCTAAATGTTGTGTGTGTTTCCAGCATCTCCCTACTTTATGCAGCCTGACTTAAAAATATGGGTTCTTCTGATGTCATGATGTAGGCTCCTGGGACATGACAACAAATACCTTATGGAAAATACAGAACTGTTATTGGTTGAATTTGCAACAACAATATTTTCCTATCTGTGATGTCATCTGTCATTTCTCACATCTGTTGGCTCACTCCACATATTTGTACACAGCTGGAATACCAAACCCATGACGCCGCATGAAGGGGCTCTGTAAAGTTTGTGGTGAAGGTGTGGAGGTGTCTGATTGGGTCACATAACTCATAAAATGACAGCTCTCCAGACTCATAATCTAGATAAATTCTGAATCTGTGAGTGGAGATATCATGAGGCAACTGGATGTCCTTGTTGTTATGCCTTACTAAGCACTGACCATAATATTTTTCCAAACACCAAGACTTGTCATTATCACCAATGCGTGACTGAAACCCTTCCCTGTCTACACTGGGATAACACATCCCTACTCTACACCACATTGATTTCCTGACATCCACATCCCAGTAACATTGCCCAAAGGAAAAGCTGTTTCTGCTTAAAACTTGAGGACGATTTGGACACCTCTCTGGTTCTTCTGGGGTCCTATGATGGTTACCTGACCAAGATGCATTTTTCTTGTCATCTGAAATAAAAAGATTACTAGCTGTGTCTGCATCTAGTAATATGTCTGCAGGATCTTGTATAAAGAAGCATACATTCACTCCTCTTATTATATCAAATAAACCTGTGTGCAATGTGTGGGAGATTAAAGTCACATCTAAATCCCCTCCATCATTAAGAAGTTTATCATGTCTCTCGTTGTCCTCATTATCTTCCTCCTCAGTATCAGACAAGTCCCCTGTGTCTGATTCCTGTAAGAAAGTCAGTGGATCAGTCATGTTACACAGCTCTTCAGTATGACAGATCTTCCTGGACAGCCCACCCTTCTTAGATTCAAGCTGTTGGATCAGGTCAGAGATGGAGAGTGAAAGCTGTTCTTGCTGCCTGGAGATCTCACTCAAGACCCTTCTCTCCAGGTCTTCCTGCTGTCTCCTGATGTCTCTGAACATGGCGCTGACTCTCTCTGTTACATCATCTGCCTTTTCTTTTAATATTCTTCTATGCTCTTGCAAACGCTTGACTTTTTTCTCAGTCTCCTCTCTCCTTATGGTTAGCTTCTGAAGAACATGTGTTAGAGACTTTTTCTTTATTTCTGAGGCTTCATCTAGCTTTCTCACCAGGTGTCCCTGATGTTCTCCATCAAGCCTGCATGTCACGCAGATGCAGGCAGCATCTTCAATACAGTAATATTTAAGCATTTCCATATGAACAGTGCATTTCCTGTTCTGTAGTGATGTTGTGGGTTCAGTTATCATATGCATTGGTGAATCATTGTGGACTTTCAGATGTTTGTCACACAGAGAAGCTTCACAGAGAAGACAGGATTTAACAGCAGGTACAGGAAAGTGAATGCAATAAGAACAAACAATCCCGGATGACTCTTGATCTTCTTGGGTAGGTTGGAAATGTGCTGCTACATTGCGCAGATTTACGTTCCTTATTAGGGCAGGTCGCTCCATAGACTCTGTTCTGCATTCCGGACATGAATAAACTCCACAGCCTTCCTGTGTATCTAGCACACAGTCAATGCAGACCCGGCAGAAGTTGTGACCACATCTTAGTGTTACAGGATCCGTATAAATTTCTAGACAGATGGAACAATGAAGATCCTCACGTAGATCAGCAGTTGCCATAGCTGACAGCAAGAGAGCCAAGTGAAAGTAAAAGTTCTTGTTTCACTTGTTTACACACAAGGTGGGACTTTTTATGGTTTTGACTTTGGACTCTTAAACATATCCATTTATTGACTCTTAAAGAGACCCTGTCACCGACCTAAAACATTGCAGGTAAAAAAGCCCAGAAATATACAGTATTTCAAATGTTTATTTGCAACATTTCCTTTTCCATAAAAAATATTTGATTGACTTGCCATGTGCCTTGCTATTAAATTTGACTTCTTAAGAAAGAGTTCATTCCCTAGCACAGCACCTTCACTCCTTGCATGTCTTTTTGCTGGTCCAGCTCCCCCACCCCTCCCTTCACCTTTGAACATTAACATTTAGTAGGTAAATAACATGCCTAAAATATGTTAAATGCACCTCTAATCTTATGGGAAAATTACTGTTGAAATAAATAGATGGGTGAAAGGTCTATTTAAGTAATTTATTTAGAGATCAACTAGCCTTCTGAAAAAATAATGTTTCATTAGAAATGCTTATAGATTTTAAGAGTTTATAATAGAAAATCCACCTTGTTATGTAAACCATAGCACATAGTAATTTAAGGCATTTGTTAGGTAGAAGAACTAGTCCACCCAAAACCATTTAGGACCTTTGTCAACAGATTTGGGGCCTATGCAGCTTGCTTTTGGCATCAGTTTCAGATGCTTCTAAGATCATTGGCAATTCACTGACAAACCTGCATTTGACCTGCTTCAACCTTTGCATTCTCATAAACCTGGAAGGAGTGAGAAGCAGGTCTGATGCAAGTCAATGCCCATCAACAGGAACCCTAATACAGTTTTGGATAAATACAGACAGGTTGAAACACTCTCAGGCTTTTTATATAGCTTAGGACAATGATTTGAATTTTAGGATCTTACACCACAGCACTGAAAATGAAACTAATGATGTTGGACAACCATTCCAAATAAAGTGGACAATTTTCTCAGGACGTATTGAGGTTGACTTGAAAAGAGTATGTTTACAAAAATCCTCCCCCAGCCACCTTCCTAGCCCCCTAACAGCAGTAAACTGTGAAGCTCCCTTCGGTCCTTATTTACCTTCTCTGACAGCTGCGGCCTCCCATGCTGTTTGCAGCTTGGCCGGTAAAAAACGTAGTTCCAGGCTGCCCACACCTGCACACTACAGACTTGAATGACAGATACCTGTACTGCAGAAGTAACATGCCATTCAAGACTCTAGGTGTAAATACACAGTTCTTGATCGTGTCCTTCAAATTACAACTCCATCCATAACTTTTTCTGTTGTTTCTCATCACTTTTCATACAATGCTCTGTTGAATAAGGTGACTTATTTGTTTAAATAAAGCTGAACTGTGTGGAAGCAAAACATTTACGCTTGAATTCAAGGTTTACCTGCTCGCTTTGGCTAGGGCATGATGAACAGTGCAATGGCTTCCTCTTCTTGCAGCAATTCCCTGAAGTCTCTTCCCTTTGCTGCATTGTTAGGGAGGATGCAGAGCGTCCCAACCACATTTTGTGGAGTGGACAGTGTAGGAGAGAGCCTGCTGCCTGGGGAGAGAGGAATAAGGTAAGTATATCACCTTATTTATCTTCATCTTGGCAAAGGGGAGTCATTTCCTCTTGCAGTAGAGAGTAGGACCCACTACAAGGGTAAACATTTTTTGTCCTGGAGTTTTGCTTTAAAGTATATATTAAAGCCAGAACCTTTGGATTTTGGATAAAGCCATAAAGACTTAGAACCTTTGTAAGCCTTCTTTTCCCATTATGTCCCCACTGGAGAAAATTCCCCTCAGTTTCTTTCAGGGCAGGAAAGATGGAAAATCTCTTCAACAAGGACACAGACAAAACCAAAAAACATTTTAGTAGAGCAGGGAAAAAGAAAAACATTTTAGTAGAGCAGGGAAAAAGAAAAAGAGCTAATTACTATGTTTTAGTTGCAGTCTGTACCTTTGTATCCCTGTGGTGATTGCCTACTCTGTTTTTTATATGGGTACCACAGTGAGAAGCAATTAGGGAGAATATCTCCAAAGGGGTCACAAAGTGATGATTTCAGCTGATTGCAAAATGAGCAAACATTGTGTCTTGGCAGTGGGGTAAATGAATAGTATTCCGTGGTGCATTATTAGAGGGATTACCAGCAGGAGGAAGGAGGTCCTTAGTTTCCTATAAAGACAGTTAACAAAAATGGTAAATTAACTGAGCGATCAAACATATCAGGGGAGACTGCAGGAAATTAATATGCACAGTCTTGAATAGGGAAAGAAAGAAGGGAAAGGGTGGACTCAAAAATTTAAACAAATTAAAGGTATCAATAAGGTTCAGGAACACCCTATTTACATCTTATTTACATGGGGCATGATAGAAACATGACCTAAAACTAGTTGAAGGAAAGTTCACAACTTACCTTAGAAAGTATTATTTTACTGAAAGAGTAGTGGATGCTTGGAACAGACTTCTAGCAGACATAAGGAGTTACCCATCAGTAAGTGAATTTAAACATGCTTGGGGCAAATATAGATCTATACAATCTATCAAAAAGACAAAAAACTCCAAAACATAGAAAAGGTGCAGCCTTGAGGGACCACTTGGTCTTTTTCAATTCTTTGTTTTGAAATTCTTAATAGAAAAATAAGCTCCCATCAACACTATATAATCATATTGGCAGATTGGTACTATAAAGGAGAAAAGTAAATATAGGTGAAATCCAAAAGCTTTATAAATTACATACTAAGAGCACAGGAACCTGTGATGGAGTTCTCAGGACTTTCCTGTGCAATTAACATTTTCAATTTTTAACTCATTATTTTCCAAGCATATTATGTATATTTATCAAATATTATGTATGCAAAGACAAAATCTCTTTTTTTTAGTTTTGAATAGAGTAGAGAAAGTTAAAACTCCTGTCAGGTTTTACTGCTATCTGGTGCTCCATGAGAGAGATTTACCCTAATTTCTTGTCCTGCTGACAGTGTTTTACCAATCAGGAAGTGAGGGGAACTATCCAACAGCAGAGACAGAAATACAAATGTGTTTCTTTAGTAGAGTAGAGCAATATTTCCCTGGTGTTCCTTCTGGCTTCCTCAGGAGTACCTCAAAATTGTGGGGTTAGTGGGATTGTGATGTGAAGGTGGGAATGAAGACTGAGCTGAAGGGGGCTCCTGATTGCTCTGATGTGAAAGAAGGGGACTCTGATGTGAAAGAGAGGATTCTGAAGTCAAAGCAGGCAAACAGTAGCGAATGGTGACTCTGATAGGAAGGGAGGGGATCTTGTTTTGAAAGGAGCACTTCGATGTGAAGGGGGAAATCCGCATTTTGTGTGTGTTTTGCATGGGGTCACCCTTAAAATCTATGACATTTTAGAATGGGGTCCCCCGAGATTTTGCATACTTTTAAAGGGTGCCATGATAAAAAAAAAATTGAGAAACACTGGATTAGAGGAAGGTTAGAACCCCTATCATGTTTTTAACTTGTGTCTCTGTCCTTGTTGCAGATGTTCCCGTACTTCTTGCTTGGGTAAACCATTGTTGGAAGGGAGGGAAGTCAGCCCCGGGTAGCAGTAAAAACCTTACAGGGGTTTTAATTCAACCCTATGCTCTATTAACTAAAAAAAAAGTTTTGTCTTGACTCACACTTTAAATAAGCACAAGATTTTGTAAGCTGAAAATAAGTCCCTTAGGCTTCCCCTGTCAGCTTGGTGTGAACACAGGAACACTTCACTTTGTAAAAAAAAGACCTTCAAAAGGAATTAGAGATCAAACTCTACTGCACTAAGCAGGTGATGACAGTTTTTGGAGGGATAATAGTAGCTGTTCGAGGGAGATGGCTGAGCCTTAAAAATTTTAACAAAACCAACAACCAGCAAAACATGACTTCACAATAAAAGCAAGATTCTTGGCAAGAGGTGGAGCAGCTGGTCAGTTTAGCATTGGCTCTTGTTGAGTAACATTAGGTTATAATTAAAAAACTGATTTGAAAACTTTTAATCACATCTCAAACTTTAGTGTAACTTTGCTGCGAATGAGACAGATTGAAACATTTCTCTTTCATGAATTGGAATAATATAAAAAAAATGTATTTCTCTTCTGAGAATCTTACTACACCAAGTCCCAAGTCAACTTTATGCTGCTTTTGAAGAGTTTGAACTAGTTCTTTTTTGTTGTTTTGTTTTATTGTATTATGCACACTTCATGCTGTTTGCCTTCAAGGATAATGTAGAATCACATGCCTATTTTTGTAACTATCCCTTTTCAATGGTTCTAGTCCAATAGAGGAGGGAAGCAGAAAAAAATAAACTGTCTGGCCCAAAAAAAAGACACACACTCTAATATTTCGTTGGACAGTCTTTCCCTTTGGTTACGGTACGGATTGACCATGGCATCGTTTCCATAAGCTTATGCAATGTCACAACATTTCTTTCCATCCAGAGTTGCATTAACGTTTCACCAAGATCTTGTAGTGATGATGGGAGAGTCGGGACACTGCATAAAGCCTTCTCCCGCACATCCCAAAGATTCTCAATGGGATTAGTGTCTGAACTCTGTGGTGGCCAATCCA